CTATATTTCTAGAGCCTAGCATGTGCCAGACATGAAGAAGCACCTTATAAATATTTATTGAATCAGTAAATAGATGAGTGTTGGGCTGATATGAAATGAATTCTAGACTTTTTAAAACTTAAAAGTAACATTTGGCTTCAAAATTGTTAACTCTGTACATGTGATGTCTGTTTTTAAAAATACTTCATTTTTTAAAATATGCTCTAGGGTGTTTAAAAATATTCTTTAAATAAACTACTGTCTTCCAGAGAATTCCATGTTTATGAGTGAGTAATGAGGAGATATTCATTGTTTTTAGGTCCTTTAAAACTARTCCTCTTGTGATTAGTGTGAACTAGTGCTTAGTTCCACATGCTCAGTGTTCAGAGTAAAACTCTTTTGACTTCAGAGTCAAACTCTCTGAGTTGAATGTGGTACCTTGCCCATTAATCCTGTCCTGAGCTAGTATTTCCCTCTTTAAGCTTTCTCAACCTTGAGTCTACAAAACAGGTGTAATCGTTCAGCACTTCTTATTAAATTATTAAGAGTAATAAACAAATTAATATCAGTAAAATACTTAGAGCAGTGCTGGCAACTTAATTGGTGCTTGGTAAGAAAATTGATCTGTGGAATGCATTTAACAACAATACCTACYTCATGGGATAGTTATGAAAAATAGTTTCATTATTTTTTTGATACTGGGGATTGAAGCCAGGGGTACTTTAACACTGAAGTACATCCCCAACCYGTTAACTTTTTTTTTTTCTTGCTAAGTTTCTGAGGCTTGCCTCAAACTTGTGATTCTCCTGCCTTAACCTTCTGAGTTGCTGGGATTACAGGTGTGTGTCCTCATTCCTGGCATAATTGTGAAAATTAAATGAGAGATTTCTAGCACACATACATAGTACCTTGATGCCCAGTGAATGCGTCATAAATTTTTATGATTATTCTTAGATATATCTTAATATGTCTTCTTTACTATCTGTAATTTTTTTAAAAAAATAAGCACACATAAAACCAGAGACCAACCAAGTGATACACTGAATGGCATAAATCAGAAGAGACTTGGACATTGGAAGAAAGGAAGAATCCCTGTCCTGGAATGTGAGAGAAGAATCCCTGGTGACAAGAATTAGAGTGGAGCAAGAAGAACTTAGAGGAAGGAGAGTTTTTCAAGCAGGAATCAAAATAGTCTGTAGTCCAGAGGGCTGAGGGAAACAGAGGAGAAAGGCCAGAGTAAGGATAAATGAGTGGCAGCCAGTGGTGGGCAATCAGTGGTAAAGTGAGGCTGGGGAGAGCCTGCTGTTGCCCCAGTTGGGCAGTAGCCAGCAGGATGTCCAGGGCTGCTTTTCTTCTCATTTGGATCTCCCTGGCAGAGGTGGCCTCTCCCAGCCCCTGTGTATATGCCTTCCTTTGCCTATACACTTTTGTTCCTGCATCCTTTTTGTTCTTGCTTGATGCCCTTTGGCCCAAGAATTTACTACTCAGCTTTCGTAACACTTTCTTGGGATTGCATTTCTTCTGGAGAATGGCTGTGTCCCACTGAAAGCTTTTTCCTGAAAGGAAATGAGCAGGGAGGAAAAAGCTCTGACTACCCTGAGGTCTTTCAGCAGGCCATCAGAGCGTGAGCTCTCGTGTGTGCCCTGCTTCCTCTTGCATATTTTCTTTGGAATGGGGACGAGTCATCATTTAACAAATAACTATGATAGTGGACCAGATCCTATCATGGATCCAAGGCCCCTAAGATTCTTTTGGTATAAAGATCCCTTTTGAGCTGCCAGGCTTCCTATAAAAGATGTATCCAGGTTTCTACAGGATACACACCTTATTCTCTTTTTTGTTTGTTTAACTCACTCTGGCCTCAATGGCTGAGTGTATAATGAACTAGTTTTCAGGCTTCTTAGGCTCTGGGCTCAATGTTCTTTCCTTTTAGCTTTGGAACACTGATTAAGGATGATCACCTTGGTTACCTATARTTTGTTACCCATGGGTTTGTAAAAAGAAGTAACCACAGAAGAGTTGGCATCTTTGAAGATAATTATGTATATGGACATGGGGGTCATAGTCATGGAGCATATTATGTTTGCTACTGCATTTGCTGACTCAAATGGCAATATTGTGTATGAAACTTTATAGGACCTATATACATGTAAAAGATTGTCTCCAAGAAATTAAGAAATTCATTTCCAAAAGGATATAGTAGGTTTAAAGAGTAAATAAAGAGAAAAGAGATGTAAAGCATAGTTGAATTTAATAAATGCTAAAAGCATATTAGAGTGATATTTATAAATATTTTACACAAGAATTTATAAGAGATCTATTGTAGATATTCTTCAGGGGTAGATATCTTTCTCTTTTTTTTTTGACTTTAAATTTTTTTTTTTATTGTTGGTCGTTTAGATATCTTTCTTATATTTAGAGTTGTTTGATATTTGAGATAGATAACTTAGTAACTCTTGATACCTTCCATGAATTCTGACAACTTGTGAGCCAATTTCTGTGTAAATGAGGTGGGTCTGAAGGTRGCATTTACTAAGCTATGACTATGGGCCAGGTTAGTTATGTTCACTCACTTAAACCTCACCACATCCCTGTGCAGTCAACATTATTATCCTGATTTTATAAACAAGGAAATAGAAACTCAGAGAGTAGGACAAGTGAGTTGTTCAAATTCTTACATGACTCATGAATGCTGGGCCTAAAACTCTGATCTCCCTAGTATATCATATCCTTTTCTTTTTGTGTAACTGCCTGGACACATTCTCTTGCTAAATCTTTCCTCCATGCCCATAATGGTCCTGAGCTTTCAAATTTGATTTAACCCATATCCAAAGTGTTAAACTGAACTTAGGTCAGTTTACTTTTTCAAAGATACACTCATCATCATGCATTAATATTATRTAAAATATATTTTGTGATCAAGCAAATTTGGGGAATACAGAATTAAAACCAATTTACCATGTTTCTTTACTGCAGGACTTCTTTGGGTTTTATATATACTAAATGGACTCTGAATCTCTAAAGAGGAATATTACACACATTCTTTTACAAGCTATTTATTGTTGATGTATTCACTCATCCTTTTATTGTAGTAGAAAGCCTCAATGGGTTCTTTTTGATGGAACTACCTATCTTGGTAGTGTGTCATTTTGGGTAAACCATTTTACCTCTTTAGCCAATTTTCGATTTGCCATATTGGACTAAAGATCTCTTTGGCTTAAAAGATACTCTAAAGGTCTCTTTGGCTTAAAAAATTCTATGGTAGAGGCTCTGTCCAAAATCTAGGCATTTGTCCAGACAAATAAACTTGCTAAGTATAGAATATGATTTTCTGAAAACCACTCATTAATTATTTGCCAAATACTATGCTAGATTCTGAAGATATAAAGATAAAAATAGGATAAATAAGATAGACTATTTCTCAGGAGGAGGAATACATATCAAAAGATGATTTAAAAATTAAGAGAGCAGAGGAAATAGATAATATAGACACATATGAAGTGATGATTGTATATATATTTTCAAAATCTCAAGAAAGAAGTTGAAGCATTCACAAGTAATRAAGACTTATGGAGGAGTTGCCTTCTCCTTGTGGAGTTGTGCAAGGCCTTGTAGAGGGAGAACAGCAAATCCMAGTCTTGGGACAGGTAGGCATCATACAAAGGGAAAGTACTCCAGGCAGAAGGGGCATAAGAACAAAAAAAAAGCACAGAGGGTTGAAGCAGCATAATGTGGGCAGTGATCTATAAAAGGCAGGGGAGGCTGAGCATGGACTTGCAGCAGGCAGGGCTATTTGTTGAGGGCTTTCTGTGTCAGATGCTTGAACTTTATCAGATGATGTGGTGGGGAGTGAGCGGGAGACCTAAGCAGAGAAGTGACATGGTCACAGATGCATTTTATAGAGCTGTGTAGAAAATAGAAAAGAGAGGGAGGGAGACAAGTACAAGATGACTGCAGATGTTGAGGCCAGCTAATGAGCACCTGAACCAGTAGAATAATTGGACAGCAGAGGAAGGGATGGATTTGAGAAACATTTAATATTTAGTAGGTACAAGCTGCTCAGTCTGGTGATAGATTAGATGAGGAGGGCAAAGGTGAGGTAATCACCTTCTAGTTTGGATGAATAAGTGTATAATGTCAGCATTATAGGTGCTACCTTGTGGAGAAAAATTATGTGATGTGATTGGTTTGGGACCTGTGCAGTATAAGGCCCTTCTAAGAYATTAGTCACTATCTAAAAATTTGGAGTTGTTATACAAACTCATCCTGTGCAAATGGAGGTTTCAGTTGGAGTAGAGGACTCACATGTAAGGACCATTTAATGTTGCCACTTACTTGATTTAGGTTGTTGGAATATTACAACTAAATGGCAGTGTTATTTATTWTATATTATTGTATTTTGTGGTGCTGGGATCAAACCCAGGACCTTGCTGGTGCCAGGCAAGTGGCAACTTTAGTTTTAATATAAATGTAATTATTAATAAAAAATATAAATAAGGTCAGTTAATCTTAACCATAGCATTATGAGGTTTGCAATAGATGGTGTTTGTACTTACTCACTGGTTAAGCTCTAGTGGTTTTAAGAATATTTATTGTTGGGAAAAAAAGTCTATAACAACTAATTTAGAAATTTTTTACCAGTATGAAAATAGCATTCTTTTCTCAATCATTAAAATTRGTGTTGATGAATTTGAAAGATTATAAATCTACTTCTCTGAATTAGATGTTCAAAGCTGTGTAATACTTCACGCCAAGAAATTAACTTCTCACTTTCCTAGGTGAGGAGTTCAATGCACTATAAAGCATTACAATTGATAGGATTTTTTATAGAGTTAGGAATATGAGCCCCATAAGAACAGGTCTAACTATTCCTCACTGGAAGTTGACACAAGTATGAGCCTAGTTTTTGCAGCTCTTTTAGTAAAGTAGTCCTAGATGTAGGAGAAGCAGATGATAGGAAAGTTGGAGAAGAGTTGTGAGGAAGGACGAGAAATAAATGCAAGGAAAAACAAATCTCTTACCAGGTTCTTGTTGTATTTTGTGGTTGTTTTTAAACCAAGTGATCTGAGGCTCTGGGACACCGTGAGCTTGACAGTCTAAAGTGGTAGAGCTGCTGATGGCTACCGTGTGATCACTGAGGTTTCGCAGAAGGTGTGGCGCTTCCTGATCTATTGAGGGAAGAAAGGGAGTTGTGATTACTTGTCAGTTTTACTTTTATCTTATATGCATATCAACATTTTAAATATACATAGAAATAGCAAAACTCAAGGTTTCATGTACATTTGGTCCCTTTTCTCTTCAGTAGTTAATCTACTGCTTCCTCTTTARTAATAAATTGAATAAATTTAATAAATTGAAATGTGTAGAACACAATAAAATCAAGAACTAGATTCTGTATTTTTAAATTTTAATAGAAAAGTTTTTGCCTGGCCAACTGGTTGCCTTYTCTCCTCCCTGTTCCCTCCACCCTGCAGAGAAGAGTTTTTCTAAAATGCAAGGATCTTGTGTAGTTTTACGAATACAGAAAAATGTGATTTTGCATATAGGCTTACAATAAATGTTCATATTAATGTATAGTGTTGGTAGATAAGCTAATATAATTTCATAGTCCTTTCCCACTTTTTTTTTTTTTTTTTTGCATGTTAGGCATGCACTCTACCACTGAGCCATACTCCCAGCCTTATGTACTTTTGTTGATGTTTGTGAGGGTATGTTTGTGTTACTCTGTAACCTAAATTTTAAGGCAGCAGACCAAACAGAATTCTTGAATTTTGAAGGCTTTATTGGTTGTTTCCTTCCTCCATTTCCTTCCCCAATGCAAGCAACCAAAAGATTAATTCAAGAGGCAGAGGCACAGATTTGTAGGTTTTGCACTATATAATAGTACAAATATTGTATTTTATATTATTTTCTCTTAAAACATACAAATATGATACAATACAATTTATTTTAATAAAATGCCAACCAATATAGTACAACAAAATGAATTTAATACATTAAGATGCAATACATTACAATATTAAAATCCCACATAGGAACAGCAGTACCCCTAAGGCCCCCAATGAGTACAGTGTCTCTAATGAAGTAGTCAGTCCTGCTGATGTGTATACATTCTAATTAGGTGGGTACTAGAGTGGTAGCTCAAGATTCCAAGGAAAAAGAACAAAAACAATCCTAATGTCTCCCCCACCCTCCCAAATTATCCCTTTCCACTCGTTGCAAATCCTGGAACAGAAATCAAAAGAGTTTTGGCATAACTTACACATTCTGCGTCACTGGTTTCAGTTAWACAGTATGAACTTTCTCTGACCATTTTTGATTTCCTCATCTTAGTGTACTAACACTGTGAAAGCAGCTTAGGAGTAATTACAATGCTACAAAAGATGATACAGTGCAGTGGCTTTGATTCCATGTCCCTGTAGGATTCTGCCGACTCCCAAAACCTTTCTCTTTTTATTCCTGCAGGAAAACTCTCAGGATTAGCATTCGTTAAAGCCATTTAGAAATCCCAGGTTAAAAGTATATTATCATATGACTTTTATAGCATGTTGAAGTAGTATAACATGGCAGGGTTACTATCAGTTAAGAGAAACAGATTTCTCAAACAGATTTCTCAAACAGATTTCCATAGCTTATCATTAGTCACTTTATATAAAATGAAATCTGAAGGCAAAAAACAAAAAACAAAACAGTGTTGAAGGATGTGCTCTGATTTATAAAACCTTCTTCAGACATAGTGTAGATTGAATGATAGCAATGGTCCTTTTTCTTCTTTCAGCATGTCTTTCCTATTCTTTTCCTAAATGTTGCAGAACTGTTGCAACATTTCTGTGTTTGCATTCTGGGCAATCTGTCAAACAGCTTTACTTAACTGAAAATGCAGCTTTGTATAAGGCCTTCAATTTATGATCCCTGCTTGCTCTTTACAAATTTGACATTTTTATGCAGCAAAGACCCYAAACATATCAAAGAAACATGACAAGATAGTAAAGAATTGTATCATATTATTATTTAGTATCTTCTTTAGTGGCAAGACAACTTTGACATCTCATTAAAAATAACTCAGACCCAGTTCACTGAGTTATATATTCTTTAGAGCTTCCTCCTGCACATTTTCCAGTGTGTTAAAATATGCTAAAATAATCTGTYGTTGCTCATAGGCCTTCTAAAAGGAAATGCAAATGCAAGGCTCACAACACGTAAATTATTTTCATAGATGTAATCATCAACACAGACAGATTTGGACTTCCCTGACAGATGTATTTGAAAACAATTCTTATATAGAAGAGCACATTTTATTTCAACATACATATCTTAAAGAACCCCCAAAGGCCCTATTTATGACACAAACATAAGACAATAAAAGCAGCCAAAAAGCTGCAGAATTAACATGGAAATCTCAATTAAATACAAGGTTCATATAAACATTCTGAAACATACAGTGTTAGGATTTATTTCTGGAAAAAATGTTGCCCTGKGTTAAATGTCTCATTTTTTGGCTAGTTTCCAAATGACGACCCAACCCAGGAGTCATATTTTGTTAATTTCCTACTTTATATACTGTAATAATCTGATTTGACATTTTAAGAAAAGTACATTGAACCCATGTGTACTCGATGGAAATAGATACCTGCTTTCCAGAATTTAACAAAGTACAACTGGTCCTGTTAAACTGAGAAAATTGGAATTAACAGAATATTTCTGCTGGTTATCAGTAGCCAAAGATAGCTGCCTACCAGGTGGTGGTTCTTCTTTTCAGTATTATGGCCCCAGAGATTTCCCAGGTCCTATAAATATATAATTTCTTTTCTCCATTTGGAATGGGGTCTAAGGAACCAGCCTCACACCCCTATTCCACCAATTATTCTTTCTTTCTCTTTTTCCCCTCTTTTATCCTCACCTCATTTCATACCCTTAGATGTAACAAAAAGCAAAATTCACCCAGTTAGTTTCTTTTCTAAAAAACAGCTGYCTGGAAGATTAATTACACAGTGAACAATTAATTAGTCTATGAAATTCTTTTTTTTCTCTTTCTTTTTTTGGAAAATCATCTCTTGGAATACTAACATCTTCCCCTCCCCACAAAAACTGGAGTAAGGGGAAGGAAATGGTTGGCTTTGCATGTCCAATATATCATTTTTCATAAGTAATTCCTAAATTATTTCATTTGCTTTTTTAGCTTTCATAAAAACCAAGGCCCCCAAGTTCTGTTTGGCATTGTTTCCTGAAGGAACACACTGACTTATAATGAACAAAGAGACCAGGCCAAAGAGCCATAGGTAAAATTTCAAGATACAATTGATTATTCTTTCCTTTGGGCTGACAACTTCCAGGTTACTAATTGTTTTCAGAGCATTTGGGGCTCCATAAAACTGGCATTCTGGGGAAATGCTATTGTTTACTCTTTCACACTTGACAAAAGCAATTCCCACGTGAAAGACAAGTTTAGCCGTGGGACAGAGTCTGCTACCTAAAGGAGGAAACAGGCTGGTGAGTTCCCAAGCTTGAAAAGTTGTCATATTGTCACCTCCTATTGAACTGCCCAGCCACTGTTTCTCAGCCATGGCTATTTTGGTCATTATAGTTTTATTTTTTTTCCCTTGTAGTTCATGCAAGTCACATATAATAATTAATCATAAATGAAAACAACAGAACAATGTATATTAAATTAATGAAAAATTCATTTCCCCCTAAAATGCAAACTTAAAGCAAGAGATCATAATCTGTCTTGTTTTARAAAAGAAATGGCATGTATTTTTAAATGACTGATTCTGCTTCTGTGGTTTTGCCATTTCTTAATCCTCATAAAAATCCAATTAACATTTTGCATATGGGGAAAATGGGCTTTTTTAATGGATAGATTTTCAATTGACATTTAGAAGAATGCATTAAATCTCTGGTTACAGTAGCTTTTATTTCTTTAAATAAATATAAGGACCACCTTTGAATGCCATCACCTCAACATAATAGAGTTCTTTAAAAGAATAAGAGGGAGACACAGATATTTAAAACGAAGGCTTGGTGCATTTTCAAGTGCTGCTAGTGGCTGTTTAGTCCAGTCTGGGGTAGTGACTAGTTGCTGGACTTGTTCCTGCAGTACTAACAGCATAATGAATATGACCTGGAAGTATGTGGGGGGGGGTGGTTGATTTAAGTGGACTTTCATAATAAACACTGTGCCAAGCTTTACTTTCTTTGAATTATACCAACATCTTGTACCCCCAGGGCCCATTTTAGAAACTCCAGTTTAAGATCAACGTGCTTAATGTAAGAAAAAACAAGAAGCATTTTCAAATAAATATGCATTACACCTTGCTTTCCAGGTGCTATTTACAAATCAAGAGCAGATGAAATAGTATAAAATAAAACCAGGCAGAAGTCCAACAGAGTCTCAAATTCAATGGTACTCATTTCTGAACTGGAAAATTAACTTATTCATGTCCATCTTTGGCAGAAACCAGCATTTGTTTAAGTTATTCAGTTTGTGCAGCTTCACAACTTAAAAATAAAAAGAGGTTGGCATCAAAGTGGAAGGAAAGGATCAGTCCCAAGTTGTTGTTTATCAGGCAGGAGAAGACAGCAAGAGCGAAAAACAGAGATTGCAGTGCAGGGATCCTCCAAATCCAAACGTGCACCAGGTCGGCCCCAGAGGGCAAAGCCCTYAGCCTGAACGGGGAGCCCCAAGCTGGCACCTGGGGGGCTCTCATAATTACTCCTATCATCTCCGAACTCATTTTGGGAGGAGCATCTCCTCTGAGCCTGAAAGTTAGCAACAGTGACAATAAATCAAGATGATATGAGACAACTGTTACTTTTTTAATGAGTCCTTTAATGTTTTACATTACTTTGTGTGGTACAATCATTCCTCGTGCTTTTAAATTTGGAGATCCGAGAGAAAACAGCCTTTTTGTTGCAGTGCTCACCTCTAATAATAACTTCTGTCTTCTGAAGGATTTCTTCCCCTGTGTATACGTTCCTGGCTCTGCAGGCATAGGTGCCCGAATCTTCCAGAGATACATTCTTGATGATAAGGTTAAGAGTAATAGAGTACTCTTTAGTGATGGCCATTTTTTGCTTGCTGATACTGTGATGCATTGTTCTGTTGTTTACTGTGCGCAACAAAATCCAAGTAATATCTCTGTATAAGAATTTATTAACTGTRCAAGACAGTTTCAGGTCCTCTCCTTCTGTAGGCATTTTTTCCAAGTTAACATGAAACCCATTTGGCACATCTATAAAATAAGAATGAAGAATTTCAGAAAAATTGTAGAAAAATCAGTGTCACCTAATGAGATAGTCAAAGATCTTAAGAATTGTTCCGACATAAATTCTTTCAGCATTAGCATTAAAAAGGATGAGTATTTGTCTTTTTATTTTAGGGGAACTGGTTTATCAGAACAGGGAGACCAAGTAAGCTCATTCTCTAAGAAGTGAGATAGGAAAAGCAAATCAGGGACAGTTTATTAGGAAGGCAYTTTTTCCTTATTTGCCTGAAGTTGCTTTTCACAGTGGAATGTTTTTTTCCAACTTGGTATGATAACCTTGTTTCCCACTTTTTTAATTATATACAGTCCTCCTACTGGTAAGTGGACACTTTTTGCTGGGGATGGAATCCCACTTGCAAGGCAAGTGCTTTCCCACTGAGCTGTACCCATTTGAAGTGGGCAAAATAGTGTGAAGTATAAGAGCAATTTGCACTAAGCCCAAAGATAGATGTATGGGCAAACTTGACCAAAATAGCTTACAAATAAGCATGGGAAGTTGTAGGTATTTGCCCTACCCTTTGCCGGTGACAAGTTGCTGATCCAGCAGTATCCTCACTCTTTGCTGGCATTGTGGACCAGAAGAAAGCCAGGCCCCCTTTATGGTGGTGGCCCTACTCAGACATGAAAGAGCAAAGATTTCTTCTGAAAGTTCCAGGTTTCAAAAATGGAAAAGAACAATTTTTAAAAAATCACTGGAAGAGTTGCCAAACTCCAAAGATGGCAAAAATAATTTAAAAAATTAAGATTTTGGGCTGGGGCTGTAGCTCAGTGGTGGAGCACCCTGTCTTGCATATGTGAGGYACTGGGTTTGATCCTCAGCACCACACAAAAATAAATAAAGATATTGTGTCCAACTACAACTAAGAAAATACTAAAAATAAATAAATTAAAAAAAAAAAAAGATTTAGAGTTGGGGCTATACTCAGTGATAAAGCACTTGTCTACCACCCATAAGGCTGGGTTCAATCCCCAGCAGCTCAAAAAAAAAAAAAAAAAGTCACATTTAATCTCAAAAACATTTTAAACATGTTCTGAAAGTGACTGTGTCACTAAAAGCCATTTCTTCTCCAGTGTCAATTCCTGGCTTACCTTCTTCTCTAAGATACTTTAGTGATAATCTGTGTGCTCTCCTCAGCATTTCTACTAAGACCAGCATTTTGCTTTTAGGCTGTGAGTTCCTTATTGACATTCTGGACCATTTTACTGAGGATTTTAAAAAACCATTGGCTACTGGTCCTGAACTGACCTGCTCTCAAAACCCTCCCGTTACTTGTTACTAGTGGTGTATCTATATTTGAGCAAAGAATTTGGGCCAACATTTTACAAAGTGCTTTGAAGATGAAAAGCACTATGTTATGCTATTATTATTATTATTATCCTTTGCACACAAAGCTATAAAGAAACCTTTAAACCTTAAGGGGACAATAGTCCAAAATTAGATATCATATCAACTCTTTCCTAAATCTCACTTTGCTTGTTTTTCTGATTTTTCTGGGCTTTGGCTTTATTATAAAGTGTCACGTCTGAAGAAATGCCAAAGTATTCATTTGAAACCTGGGAATGGGGGATAACAGTGGCTTATGAAGTTGTCAGTGGCTGACAAGAGAGGAGATTAGTAGTGGTTTTCCTGCTCTAAAATGAAAATCTAAGAACGTGCCAGAAGATGCAGGAGCAGTTGACAGTCATTTTCAACTTAACAATAAGGTGTCAGAAATAGCTGTTCTAATTCATCATCGTTTTACATTTTGGACATTTTCCAAGTATGAGGAGTAAAATATCAGCCATCAAAGTTACACGGATACTAGAGCAGAGGTACTTTTCACTGGTTGCAATCAGATCATCTCTTAAAAGATCACGGACTTTCCATTTATAAGGACTCATCCTGGTAGGTAAAACCCAAATGAGCCCAGTAACACCATTGAGATCATGTAGAGAGWTTCTATTTACTTTAGTGATTTGAAACTTCCTGTGGAAATAGCTCACAGGTTTCCTGATGGAAGATTTTGTTTATCTTTGCCAAGCACCACCAGGAATCTCAAAATAAAATGCATTTAGTGACATTGGGAAACCAGGGAGATAAGGCAGCCGCTGTTCCTGTTTCACCCTCAGTAACTGCTCACACACCCATAGTCATGCTGAGTGCCAGCAAAACTGCAAAAACACACACAGAGGAAAAGAAAAGCACCAAATCCATTTTGAGGTCTGTTTCTTGTATGAGGGACACAGTTACTAAAGTAATTTGGTTTAAGTCATCAGGCAGCCTTAGAAGGGATTATCTATTTCTCAATATAACCCCTTTGGTATTCTCTTTTGATCCATGGAAGATCATAAATAAAGTGTCCACAACTGCTTAATGAACCCAGAGGGATTTTCCCCTTAATTCATGTTGATTTTTTTTAGCCTGAGTACAAAAACAGACCCAAGAAAGAATTGCCTTTTAACCCTCCAAGTGAAAACAAGAAATCTTCCCACACTTCAGTATCTTTTGCAGATTGAGTACACTCATAGTCATCACCAAATAATGCCCATCCATCTAACATAAGGCACATCCATGGAGTCTTACAAGGTGTCATAGAGAAGAATCAACTCTTGCTCAGAAGAGACATTCTACCTAGGGTTAGGTGAATGAGTAATGTTCATTAAGGAGTACATTAGGGGATAGACATTTTGACTTGATTGGCTCAGATGTGGATTAAATTCATGAAAGAGACAAATATAAGAAATTTAAAAGGATGAAGGAGATCCCATTTGTTAGAAATATAGGTTTTTCTTTCATTGAAGAMCAGGAATAATATTCTCTAAAAAGAAAGTGAATGGTTATTATAAAGTTTTGTTTATTTCAAGCAGATGCCATGTACAAATGTGTGCCAAAATTTGGAGTTGAAACAGTCAAGGATGCTAACGACCACAGTTAGCCAGTTTTCATCAATTTGGAAGGCAAAGTTATTACTGTATTTCAAGACAGGGCCATAATATTGAAAGGAGGATCAATAAAGATCCAAATCTAGATCTTTAAAGCATTAAATTTTTAGACATCTCTTTCAAGATGCTCCTTTAAGGATTAACATTGAGCAAATAAACATTTTTTTTTTCAGAAAAATAAACATGTTAAGTGTATTATTTCTAAGACTAAAGATGGAAAATGACTCAGACATAACTTTTCTATGTTCATATATGAATATATGACCAGTGTAACTCCACGTCATATACAATGACAAGAATGGGAAGTTATACGATCATGTATGTATGATATATCAAAATACATTCTACTGTTGTGTATAACTAAAAAGAACAAATAAAAAAAGATAATTGGTTAAAAATAAATGAAAAATGTAAGCAAATTAATCTACTATTACCAATTCAAACTAAAATTTCGTAGGACTGATAGTAAAGAATTATTTGGAGAAAGGATAGACTAAGCAGTGGGTGGGAAGGGAGGCTGGATTGCCTAAACTCATGTTCAATTTTAAGATTAAAGCGCTTGAATTTCTAGAGCAAAAGTACTGAGAGCTTCTAGCAGGTATGTTTGAAGCAAGGGAGTGGGTCTTCCCCTTCCACTCTTAGCACATCTTCTTCTAGTGCTATGCTCAGGCTCCGGTAAGCAGGGTCTCTGTCCTGGGCCTTTTGATGGGTGTCTTCTGGTTGTACCCCTCCCTACATTGTGAAGAATCTGGTATTCTATACCCACCCAGAGCCCATGTTACTCCACGCCTATATCATGCTTTTGGTCCTTGGGATCTTAAAATTCCCCAAAAAGCTTATCCTAAATCTGCTTCCAGGTTGACTTAGCCTCTCTCTTCCCTAGGACTGGGCTCCTGAGATCAGACTGCTTGTCAGTGTGTACACCTCCGAGTAGACAAGGAAGATTGTTTGTGAGGGGCATGGGCAAGTGTGGGAGTGGGCTGGGAGACCACACACGGGAGGAGCATGGTCTTTAGCTGTGTGGGGCCCATTCAGGGGTGGAAAGAAGCAATGGGTCAGCCAGTCTTTCTGTGCCATTAGGTACTGCTGCAGTCTACTCCACCACTCTGAATAGTACCAGGTTTCTAAGCTTGTGCTGGCCTTTTGGGTCCTTGTGAAAGTATATTTGTCCATAGGAAGTTTAAAAATATGTAACAGCCTCTTGGTTTGATTTAGAACATGTCAGTGGTTAGACCAATGATTTGTGGGCCTCTGCTAGCACTCTTGCCTTGGCTTTCAAAACATCAAGGCAGGCGTGACTTCTTCCCACTACCTATTCAGATTCTACCCCTACCCAGGGCCTCTCAAATCCTGCTTCCTTCCCGGAGGCTTAGAGCTACACTGGCCAATATGGTACCCATTAGCCATGTGTGGCTTTTGAGAACTATATATATATATATATATATATGGCTAGAATGACTAAAGACCTGAATTTTATTCAGATTATTTTATTTAAAGTTATTAAAATTTAAAAACTGAAGTAGTGTTATATTTTTAAAATGGTGGTCACAGGACTAGGTTCTAACTCAGTGGCAGAACACATGCTTAGCATACACAAGGCTTTGGGGGTTTAATCTCCAGAACCCTCTAAATGTTGGTTACACATTGAAATTACAATGTTATGGATATACTAGATTAAATAAAGTTAATTTCACTTTTAATTTTTTTATTTGGTTTTAGATGTACATGATGGTAGAGTGTATTTTGACATATCATACATACATGGGATCATAATTAGASTGAGTTATACTCCATTCTTGTGGTTGTACATTATGTGGAGTTCCAYTGGTTGTATGCTCATAATATGAACATAGGAAAGTTATGTCTGATCATTTTACTGTCGTTCCTATTCCCATTCCCCTTCCCTTCATTCCTCTTTGTCTAATCCAGTGAACTTCTATTTTTCTCTCTCCTCTAATTTCACTTTTTAAACATGTGGTTACTAGAAAACTTTTACTTATATCTGTGGCTTAACTCTATTGGACAGCAATGCCTCTAGAGTAAATTCATCCATCAGATCACTTCTGCACAGACATTTTGATACAGGGATACATGTAAATTTTTTTTTTAACATTTCTTCATTTGCTCAGTCTTAGAACTGTCTGCTAGAAAGATAGGGCTTCACTGATATGCCTTAAAGAGCTTAGCGCTCAGTTTTAGTGTGTTGTTTAATAGTGCTCATTAAACTGTTGCAAACTTGCTGAATATTCAGAGCAAAACAGGAATTGCTCCATCTTTTATACTCTGAATCAGACACATAGTTTAAATGGTAACTTGTTTCTAACTAAATTTAAAAGACAATACAAATCTTTGGATTAAATTAGTTCAGATCATCTGGATTTATTAGAGACTCAGCCTGTGTGAAATCCCTGTCAGAATCTATCTCTCGGAAGGGCCCTTTCCATGCTTGGAAGGGATGCAAACTGCTTTCCCTTCCACTTCCATAAGGTGAGAAGACAGGRACTGACTTGGTCTAGAGTGGCCCTGCCATGGACCTTCTCCCTTGTCTAGACCCTGTTTTTTTCATCTGGAGTGCTCAGGATCTAGAATGGTGTCTAGCCTCTAAGAGAATGCCTTCTAGCCCTGATCTTCTGAGAGAATTTCCTCCAGGAAATTCAATGTCTCCCATGGCCCAGCTTCTCTAGGACTTARCTAACTTGCCAAAAGGTTTCTGTCACCCGACAGTCCAACTGTCTCATGAAAATTAGTCCTGCCTGTTTCTTTCTGGAGATCGTAGGCAATTTTGTGCCACTTGCCCCATGTACTGCAAAGTTTCCCGAGAGTTGGCAGACTGCCCATGTTTCCTCAGAAATTGGGGAGTGTGGAGCCAGGCAATTGTTTTTATACTTTGAGTTACTTATTTCCTTCCTGTACCCACAGAGGGGCACAGGGAATGCCATTTTTGTACCTTGGAGGTTTGGAGATTTTCAGAGACTATCATATTTAAAACTAAAAATTCTTAAATACTGTAAAAAAATAGCCCATTAATTATTAATGAAGCTGTTTCAGATTTCTACAGGAGACCATCATTTCCCCCAAAGGATAAATTATGTAAGTTGTGCAATGATTAGCTTATAGGTTAAAAAATCATCATAAGTATTAATAACTGGTTTCCTTGACTGTTACTGAACATGAACAATTAGTGTGTGTCAGACCCTGTGCTGAAGRGTGTTCATAAACGAACATACAAGATCCCAAATTTGGAATCCAGTCTGGGAGGGAGACACACACAAATAACTCTAAAAGAGAATTCAGGGAAATAACTCTTTAAGAGAGCCAATGATGTTGTAGAATTCTATTCCTGAGAGCAAGGATGAAGGTACTCAAAGCTGACAGTTCTATGGAATTTTTTTTTTTTTTTTTTTTTTTTTATAATCAAGCTATAAGTGCACTAAAAGCAAACAGGATAACAGGATTGAGGAGAGACTGAGATCATCAGGCTGTTTTCATGGGCATATGATATGTGGCTTACCTGTGATATAAAAGCTTATGTTTCTTTCCACAGTCCCTATTTTATTGGATGCCATGCAACTATAGATTCCAGAAATTCTAGAGTCAGCCACAACTAAGGTGCTAGCCGTCTGCAAAAAGAAAAAGAAACTTTAGCAATAGGAAAAGATATTTGAACATCTCTAAGCAACTTTTTATCTTGGCAGGTGGTGGTGCTAGGAGTTGAACCCAGGGCCTTGTGCATGCTAGGCAAGCGCTTTCACTGAGTTACATACCCACCCCTCTAAGCAACTTCAGAAGATTGAAATGATTCCATTATTTCATTCATTTAACAAAGACAGTATTGTATGAATGGTGGTTACTATGAAGCTCTCTCCTTGCTGAGCCCCAACAAGAATGGAAAAATAACAGGAAAGCAGGTCCTCAGGAGACCGGGGCCTATGACATCCGACTCGTACGAGGGTTTCAGGCTTATCTTGTGTTGCTGGCATAACAATTATAGACCTTAAGCTGAGATGTGGGACTGCACGTCCCACTCTATGAGGTGGTCAGTTCCATGTCAATAAAAGGAACAGGTGAGGCCAAGTCCTTCCCTTGTTTGGGTGAGCTCAGAGCATGGATGCCAGCTCGAAATAGGTCTTTTCTGTGTTTGGTTCTGTATAGGGTATATTAAGTAAGCAAGGACAGAAGAGAAAGTTTGGCTGAACCATATCTTTTATGTGGATGCAGCCTTCAAATGGTACTGAAGGAGATGAGAGGCTAAAAAGCTTACTGAAATTTTTTTTGTGTGTGTGTGTTGTAAATTACATAATTTCTCAGTTCTTTCAATTGTAATCTAGAACATTAAAATATAAATGATGAATTCAGTGCAGTTTTACTAGATTTTAGTGCTATTTGACAATTTTGTTCTTAAACAAACAGTAGTCAAGTTTGTATGAACTTGAAAGTACTTTTTAAACTGTGATGCCTGAAAAATAATGAAACCTCATTTTAGACAGCTTGAAGAATGGCATTCTCATAAGGAAAAAAATCATGAGACAAGTTGTTGAACATTCTTAAATTTAACACATCCTTGATTAAACAAGTAATATATATTGTACATAAAAAACTAGTTTATCATACTTAAAATTACACACACATGCATACAAACACAAGTTGATCCAGTTACTTATAAATCTTTGCACAAATAACTGGTTATGGGATATGTAATTAGAGGGACAATGCTGATGCTTCAGTACTAATCAGCTGTCCTAGCTGAAGTGAGGTGACTTAAAAGCTATAGTAATGCATAGGCTAAAATGTGTTGAAGGACTTTTTCTCAGGTGGTGAACATATCCCACAAGTGGTTTGGTTATTGGGAAGGGTCCTAACATTTTGAGTTGCTAAGGAATATACTAAGCACTTTGTGGTCTGTTATCCCATCTAATAAATTAAGGTATTTCTATCTTTAATCTACAGACCATGAAGACTAAAACCATGCTTTTAATTTTTTTAGCCAGCAAACTCATTGCTTTAAATTTTTCTAAATGCTTTCTCTTTTAAATGTTGTTGTATCTGCTTCATTACATTTATCCATATATTCTCTGTGTATTATTGAAATTATTGGTAATGAAAATGTTGGCAATACATGGCATTTTTTTTCATTCAATTTAGCAGACATTTATTGAGCGATCATCAGATTGCCTAGATATTGCCATGGAGACAGAGATGAATATGACACAGTAGTTCATTTCATTCAACTACTCTTAACAACTTTTAAGATGATGGAGAATAATTGCCATACTTGAAGATCAAATATATATATTCTCTCTTTCAAGAAGAAACACTATATTAGGTAAATAACAGAGAGAGTAGTTGGAAAGAGAGCTTTTCTTATTTTTGTTAGTAATCTTGATAAGAGGAAGGAAATAAAAAATTCTGATAGCCATCTCTTTTTTATCATGAGAAAAAATGGAAGTTATTAGAAGAGGAGACATAGACAGCAATGTGAAAGGAACTGTTAGCTGGTGGCAGCTGGAAGGGCAGTAGAGATCATCAAGTAAGATTCCGACTGCCTTATGTTRTCTCAGGAATCTTGGGCTCAGATGCTTCAAGGTTGTTTGCAACAGGTTCAGAAACAAGGACCTCTTGTGAAGCCTTCTGCATGTGTCAGCTTGGGCACTGTTTTTCTCATGAAGTATGTTCTCAAGTGTTTATCCTAAGTTACCTAAGTAGAAACTTAGATTTTCAGATGTATTGTTCATTAAATAAGTGGAAAACCTAATTCTGTCCACTTGACAATGTTTGAAATTTCAGATATCAGTTACCTGCATCTGTAAGTCATGTTAGAGCTTCTATTTAAAAGATTTTCATTTCATTCAACTCAGAGCAACCAAGAACAAGAACTGAATTTCATTACATGGAAAAGTCAATTCACATGTGCACATTTGGCATGTTTAAACCTGTGCAGATAGTCTGGCAGTAGCCATTATCAAGGCTCCAACAGAAGTCATGATTTTGGTATAATCAGAAAATAAAGTTATGGTACCAGAGGTGATATGAATCTGTTATATGAAGAACCATGAAGATAGGAATGTATTCAAATCTTTCTTCTTTTAATGATGCCTTCCAAAACCAGATATCTTCTCTATAATCAGGCCTACTCCAGAATGTCCCTCACCAAAGTTTCTTTTAAAATAGAAGTAGAAAATAATGGAAATGTACATTTTTTTCTTTGTTTCTGAGTACCTTATGTGGCCCTTGCTTCTAAAGTGCCTTGCACACTGTATGGCATATAGCATTATCTCTTTTATCCTCATTATATACCTATGAGATGAGTGCATTACCCTGTTTGACAAATGGGACATCTGAGGTTTATAGAGGTTAAGTGATTCACCCCAACGTGCACAAGACCACAGAGTAGCTTGGGTCAAACTTATGCCCCATGTTTCTAACTCTAGTGCCTCAGTCTCTGTACCACATTGCTTCTCAGCTTAAAACTTTTAAAATTGAATAACAGATCTGTTGGTAAGTTCTGTCTACACTTTGGGTTTTTCATTGAGAATACTTCCTTTCATCAGCAGAGCTGGGTCACATAAGCTAAATGCTCCATGTACAGAATTGCTGTTTTCCTTCTTTGATAGCATTTTACATAAGCAGCAAGATGTTTTTCAACTGTTATAATGTTGTGTGGTTTGAAAATGTGATTGGTGAATGAAAAGGTTATAGTTGAAGAAAATTTTAAAATGAGATGAAATGTATGTTCTATGATTGACTTGATTAAAAATTATCTCCTTTCTAGAGTACATCTCTTTTTACAGACAGTATATCTTCAAATTATAAATTTAAACATTTTCATTAAAAAAGATATTTGAAAATATAAACTGATCAGGAGAAAAAACTCAAGTGTGAATTGTAGCTGAGTGTGAAGACAATTTTGCATAGGACAGTAGGTGTCAGCGCATTGATCTTTGTTAAAAGGGGCAGATTAGGGGCTGGGGTRATGGCTCAGCGGTAGAACGCTCGCCTCACACTTGTGAGGCCCTGGATTTGATCCTCAGCATCACATAAAAATAAATAAATAAATAAATAAATAAAGATATTGTGTCTGACTACAACTAAAAAATAAATATATAAAAAATTAAAAGGGGGCAGATCTGTTCTCCAGTGATCATAAGCAGATATTACTATTTCAAAGGGGAAAAATGAAAATAGTGAACAATTGGAGCACCAAATATCACCTTAATACTTTAAGAGAAAGTACCAAAGATTATTTCTTTTCTCAGTACTGGGGATTGAACCCAGGGTCTTTGCTACCCCCAGCCCTTTTTATTTTGAGACAGAGTCTTACCAAGTTGCTGAGGATGGCCTTAAAACTGTTGATCCTCCTGCTTCAGACTCCTAAATCCCTGGGGTTACAGGCATGTATCACTATTCCTAGCTGTGCCAAGGATTTGAGTTGTAACATATGTTTGAAATTTTAATAATTTATTTTATAGTGAACACCAAAAGAAATTCTCAAGGATATCTACTTGTATTATCTCCATGTTTAGTTTTCATTTTCCACAACTAAAAATAAATGAAAGAAGATTGAGGAAAGAAAGAAAGCAAAAGTGCTAAAATAAAATTAGGATGTCCAAGTTCCGATCTCTCAGAAGATCAGAAGAAACAATTCTTTCACACATCTACTTAAAATTCAGTGCCTCAGGCTAGGTTTGTAGGTCAGTGGTAGAGCACTTGCCTTCGCATGTGTGTGGCACTGGGTTCGATCTTTGGCACCACATAAAAAATAAATAAGATAAAGATATTTTTAAAAGTTCAGTGCCTTATTACACAGGACAAATACATCAACTTAACATTTAAAAAATTTCAATTCTGTTGGTTAGTTTGGGGTAAGCAGGGTTTTGGTGAGGTTTCCAATCCAATGTAATTCTACATTTTTAAAGAACTCATTTTTCATTCTTTATATTTACTACTTATACTTTGGGGGACTTCTGATTTGGGGTTGCTTCCACTTGCTCTTCCAAGATCTCAAGGATTTGGATATTAGAAACAGACTTGTCCAGTCCAATCTCTGGGTTCTGTATGACCCAGGAACACTCATGAAAACTGCTGGCAAGTACTATAAGTTTGGAGTTTCTTCATGTTCCTTCCTTCCTTCCCTTTTGCTAAGCATTAGTAATTTGCTTCTACAATGTCATTTGAATGAATGGGGTGATGTGTCATTCAGCCCAGTTTCTGTAACTAGTTTTTAAAAAATCTATATATGGAACAGTGTTTTTTAATTTCGGGATGTTTCAGCATGCTTTTGAGCGTTTCAGGGAGAAATAAAAGTAGATGGACAAAGGTCAAAGAATAATCTAAAATTAACCCGGGGGCTGTGTGGGAACTGAAATACAAGCTGTAATTCTGTGATTAGAGTTGCTGCTTCCRTCTCAGATTTGCAACATACAACACACCTACTTCTCAATGGGCCCTCAAATGATTTCAATGGAAATGTTTCTACATTGAAATTGTCATGATTCTCCGACCTTTCAGAATGCTTCAATGTGTCTTTCCTGTGTTTTTTCTAACATAGGATTCCTTTTACTTCCTATTTTATATCCATGAACCCAAGAATTTGGCAACTCATTTAACAATATGAAAACTCTACATTTGCTATTAGCCACTCTAATTGATGACTCACATTTCACAAATCTGGCCAAAATCTGCCAATAAGGAAATTCATTTTTATTTCCCTCATATCCTTCCTTGAGTTAAACAGACCGAAAAAACAAAACACAACCCTCCCTCCAATATGTAGCAAGTGCCCCAGCACTAGTGCTAACCCCCTTATGCCTGACCTATAGAGTAGCATTGTTGGGCATGCTACATATGTGATTGCAGATAAAGGAATCATCACCATCTAAATTGGAACTTGAATTTACTTTGTAAATATTTACAGAATAAAAARTACAGTTTAAAAGTAAATGAAGAACACTGCACATGATTTGGAAATAACAAGGCATATAAAAGATACCCCCTGCCCCCCAAAAAGACAGTCAATGCTAAAAGTAAAATTAGTAAATTTGCCTAAACTCAGAACATTAAATCAATAATTTTCTTCAAGTCTAATGTGTTACTATTATAGCTGTTTGTAGGATATATACCCTATATACATTTTGACTTTGTTTAGAAAGAGAATTAAAAGATTTTTTAATGCAAAGAATTGTTTAACGGTAACCTTYATTGTGCATGATTGCAATCAGTTTGGTAAATTGCATTTGGGTGAATATGGTAGTCATTTTATTATAATATTGTATATATAGGGCTTCTCATCTTTATAACAGGAAGCTAAGTAGAGCAAATATGATTAATTCCATTCTTTTTGGGGGAGAGACCCCTTAGTTGAGAGTGGTGAACTGATTTAGAGTATTTATACAAATAGGGGCAGAGCTTGACCCTGGGGCTCTGTAGTACAGATCAAGTGTTATAATTACCAGCTTTGTGCATGTGGGTGTGGTGGTGTACACCTTTAATCCCAGCGGCTTGGGAGGCTGAGGCAGGAAGATTGCAAGTTCAAAGCCAGCCTTAGCAACTTAGCAAGATCCTCAGCAACTTAGCAAAACCCTGTCTCAAAATAAAATATAAAAAGGGCTAGGGATGTGGCCCAGTGGATAAGTGCCCCTGAGTTCAGTCCCTGGTATGAAGAAAAAAAAGTCTACATTTAAAATCTTCTGCCTAACTACAGAATTACAAGACAATATATCTGTTCCAAGCATACATGAGAAAATTGGGGAAGTTCTTTGATCTTAGTCAGCTTTTGTTATCATTTTTTATAGGTATTATACATGGAGTCAGGTTGCTACTTCATAGTTTAAAGTAATCAGAAATTTCACATAGCTTTCTCATTTTCCATTTATTTCATATTGCATATTTTGATAAGATACCAAAATAGGAGTAGAAGTTACCACTGGAATTAACTTGTAAGTTTTTGTTTTAAATATCCAGCAGTTAACAGTATATCTACCTGACATGGTCAGGAAAAGGCCAAAAGAATAGACACTACTAATGGTGTCTTAAAATTTTTCTAGTACAACTGATTTGCTGTCCACTTCTAATAAACTGAGATAGTTTTTATTCTCCCCCAAAGTGTAGCATCACCCAAGTTATTCCTTCAAGTTTATAGAATTTTCTCTTATTTAAATATTGCATTAAACTGCTCTCTCAATACCAGTCATGGAATTAAAAAAAATTAATTCTAATTTGTTATAGATGACAGCAGAATGCATTACAATTCATATTACACACATAGAGCACAATTTTTCATATCTTTGGTTGTATACAAAATATATTCACACCATTCATGTCTTCATACATGTACTTAGGGTAATGATGTCCATCTCATTCCACCATCTTTTTTACCCCCATGCCTTCTCCCTTCCCCCCCCCACCTCTTTGTCCTGTCTAGACTTCATCTAATCCTCCCATGCTGCTCTCCCAACCCAACTATGAATCAGCCTCCTTACATCAGAGAAGACATTTGGCATTTGTTTTTTTGGGATTGGCTAACTTGACTTAGCATTATACGCTCCAATTCCATCCATTTATCTTGCAAATGCCATGATTTTATTCTCTCTTATTGCAGAGTAATATTCCATTGTGTATATATGCCACATTTTCTTTATCCATTCATCTACTGAAGGGCATCTAGGTTGGCCCTCCAGTTTAGCTATTGTGAACTGTGCTGCTGTAAACATTGATGTGGCTGTGTCCCTGTAGTATGCTGTTTTTAAGTCCTTTGGGTATAGACTGAGGAGTGGGWTAGCTGGGTCAAATGGTGGTTCCATTCCCAGCTTTCCAGTCATGGAATGTTTTTAAGCGTTGCTCATTTTTGTGTTAAAAAAAGTTATAAACCACRTACAACTACTGCTGTAGCTAGAAAAATGTTGCTAAATCTGTTACTGTTGATATTGTCATATAAGCCATCATCACTTTAATTTCTGTATTGGCTTACTTAGCAGTGAGAGTCGACTGGGTTTCACATAGAAAGACTTTGGTTTCAGTTTCTTATTATTTACCCTTTTAAGCTGTGTGGCTTTGGGTTAAACATCATCCCAGTTGTTCATATATTTAAAATGGGGAAAACCACTCTGGCTTGTTAAAGAATGATGGWGACATTAGCACATCAAAAGGTTTTACATAATGAAGCATACAGATATTTGTTGTCATTGTTAATCCTACATGGAGAATGAAGGCATCTACTTTTTCATCTTCTAATGCAAAGAATATGACTGAATAAATGTATAAGTATCACCACACTCCAGCAGAAAGTGCCATCTGTATTAACAATCTATTCTAATGTATATGGTCATTTCAGCAAGGGATTATTTGATTTTTCGTCTTCTTTTTTTTTTTTTGGCTCTCCCTGTGCATGATGATGGCAGATTTTTAAGTGTATTCTTTACTAGTTCACAGGGAAAAAGTCACTATGTCTGTAATCCACTGAGACTTGCCTGGTTCACAGGGTGTCAGCCATTGCCAAGGCTGGGGTGTGGGGGAAGAGGGAATGAATGGCCCAAGAATGGCAGGAAAAAAAATGTCTACTAGACCCGATTAGACTGAAGAACCTTGATAGACTGTGTTGTATGTTCGCACATCCCAACTTAGGCTTCGCCCTGGCAAATATAGAGGGGAAAACATGATTTTTTGTGAAATGGAAACATTCAAGTTTAGCCTTAGTCTTGTATTAGCTTTTCCTTATTGGAATCCTRTTTTATGTATGTCAGTGATCTGGTTACATCCTAGAATCCTAGAAAGTTTGATGAGTCCTGGGCTCCACCCCAGAGATTTGTCTGTAATGCTAATTGGTAGAGGATTCTAACCTGTAGCCAAGATTGAAAACTGCTGATGTGGATGGGTTTCAAAAGGAAAACACCATCTATTCCATTAAGAACGAATATTCCTTATCTTAGAATTGGGGTCAGTTAAAGAATATAGCAGATTAAATAATATATATGTTCATGAAGACATATCTCAGATACTGTTTTTCCTCTCTCTGAATTTTGTTTGAGCATTTGGATTGCTTCTCATTCTTAGAACAGACAGATGAGAGTGTACTTTTAGAATATCCCAATGCTAATTTTTACAAACAGTACCTTGTTCTTTCCTTCTATTACTGCTGTACGCTGAGTGATGCTCTCAATTCTGTTTCCTATGTTGCTTTCAGGATCCAGGATAAAGGATTCTTCATTATTGGAACAAAAGTCATACCTATTAAAAAAATGTATGTCATTACAATGTTGCTTTGCAGTGTGGTTCAGTCAATGGTGAAAATGAAAACCATTGGCTAAGTCCCTAGATAGCAAAATCACAAATTTTATGTGAATTTTCTTTTCCTTAGATTTTTTCCTATATTCCTTCTCAGAAGTTAAAAATAGCAAATGTATTTACTTGAATTGAAAAAAACAGCACTATGCTGCCATAAGTCCTTCATGTTCCAAATATTAAAGAAAACTGCATAAATTAGAAAAATTAATATCCAGATTATATTTTTTTTCCTAGTGGAAGTAACATGCAGACACGGGGAGGGAGTGAAGTTATGTTAATGAATAGAAACTTTGAGGAAATAATAGCATTTCACATCTTATAAAAGGCTGGCTTTTAGTCAGAATATTCAGTTGAACTGCTAAATTTTTCCAGGATTAATTAAATGCATATGGAAACAAACATCTTGAAGTGGTTATTAAATTCAGTCTATTTCTTTTCAAGTCTTGGGGTATCATGGCAAGCTCTTTAACTTCTTAGRCCTCAAGTGTTTAATTATAAAATAAGGTTGTTGATGTTATCATTAGAGTCCATGAAATTTCTTTTTATTTTAAATATTTCATCATTTTGTATTCTTACCTTCTGAACTAGAACTTTTGGTGGTCAAAAATCTTGCTTGTCTCAGTTTTACCCATTTTTGGCAAATTCTGGAGATTTTCAAACCAGAAGGAATTTTAAAGCTTTATTTCCAGAAAGAATGAGTGGTTGATCTTAMGTAGCCAACAGCAGTAAAGATTTATGTAAAATGAAAGTGGGAGGATAAAGAAAGAAACCAGGATAGATGGGATTGTGAGGGTCAGAAAAAAAGTTCAGTTATTMCTCTCTGTGGTTTTTGAGCTGGGAGGGCCCCAGAATGTTAAACTGTCTAATGTGATATGCTAGACACCCCTTCCTTTGTTATATGCCCTGTAACATCCTCCTGCAGAGTACTCACTACCTTCTCAGTGGCCACTTACTGCTCTGAAGCCTCAGTGGGAATAGCTAGAGGAGGACAGTGGCCATGTCTACTTATTCACCCTGTCCTTATAGCTAAGCAAGGGACTAGCCTGTAATTGGTATTCCATAAATATTTGTAAATGTACAGACAGGCATAAAGTACTGTTATATTTCTATGAAGAGTTTTTATTATTTTCAAATGTATTGGTAAGTAGAGAGMATAATATGAGAAACTGCCATGTATCTGTCACCCAGATTGTTTTGTTTTTTAGTGTGTGTGGGGGTGGGAAGCAGGGAGGACGGGGGTAGTGCTGGGGATGGAACCAGGGCCCAGGGCTCGGTAGGTGGTCTACAACTGAGGTACACCTCTAGCCCCATCATTGAGATTTCATTTATCAAAATTTTGCCACATTTGCTTCATCTGTCCCTTATTGCTTTTTATTTTTTCCTTTTGTGAAACAYTTTAAAACAGATCTCTGACATATTATTTTGGTCCTATGTGCTTCAGTGCATATCTCTARAAAATATGCATGTTTTCTAAAGTAACCACAATGCTACTTTTATGCCTAAYAGGATTAGCAATTCCATGTTGGTATTTGTACCCAATCCATATGTCAGATTTCTCCAAATATTTTTAGAAATATCTGTTTTTACAGTTAGATTATAAGATTTAAAATATAAAAGAAGGTATGACCATTTCTTAAGACATTTCTTTGATTCCTGTTAGCTATTCTTTAAAATCATCAGGTAAGAGAAGTGAACATTTTAATCCTCCTTTATTAGTAGAGAAAACTTAAATTATATATTTTCTCATTTTTGGAAACATTTTAATAACACAGTTTTATTATTAAATAATTAAAAGATTTATATAAATCATTATATAAAAGTCAGTTTGCCTGTTTTTTATTATAAGTATTCTCTATTTTCTGGACTGTAACATCTGTGCCTTTCCCTGCCGTCAGTGCGTACATGAGTATATATAATCTGTGTGTATACATGTGTGTACACCCGGATTAGACACTTGCGTGTGCACTTAAGCTTGTGACATTAGACACCTGAGGTTCTCTTGTACCTGCAGGAGAAGGCTCTATATTTCATTCTCTTTGTTAAAGCAATGAAAAAGATAAGGGGGCTTTAGTCAAAGATTATTCATTCATATACTTGATCCTCAGGAAATGCAAAGAAAYATGTTAGAGTAAAGCAAGTCTAGGCATTTCCCAAGGGAAATATAGTCTACTGACTGAGTTCACTAGGGTCTATTGACCTCTGGCCTCTCCTTCTCCCCCGACCCCCCACCTCCCACTTTTCCTACAGCTCCAAGGATAGTTACAAACTGCACAGGTCCTACTATGGAAACCATACCTGACTTACTGCCAGGTCTTCCAAAAGAAAAGGACAGAATCTGTGGCTCTTTTCTAATTTAGGGGCTGTTATTTTTCCCTCTTTGTAATTAGAACCATAAAAATAGAATGTCATTTAGGAGCCTAACTCTAATAACAACACTTGAAAAGAGATTTAGGGGGAGGGGAATTTGTCTAAGTTTTAAGAATACATCAAGCTCTTAAGGAAGTAGATTGTGCCATGTTTGAAGATGCAAAGATAATCACTGTGCTGGGAACCGTCTTGAGGGGGGAGGAAGCTGAACAACAAGAGGAAAGCAGCATTCGCTCCTGATTTCGCACAGGAAGCCCACAGCACCTCCTGCCAAAGCGAGATAAGAAAGCTCCCATGCACTATTCTGGACAAGGCCACTGTTATCAGCTTCAGGTCCGTGCTGTCCTCTCTATGCTCCAAGCCTCTGTCCCTTTCCTAATGAGCTTTAGGACTCCTACCTCCATGTGCATATAGCATGCCAAGTATAATAGCATGGAGGTATTTATAACCAGTGAAAGGAAAAAAGGAATTCTGGGGGTAAGAGAGTATTCCATGTCTTCTCTGTCAATTGCCCTAGAGTTGAAACAACTTAGTTTTGGACCAGAGATTGACAAATAAAGTACAAGTCGGCCAATTATGTATCCAACACATGGAGCTGGGACCCTACATGTGACATGTCAATCTGTTTAACTCCAACTGGGTGCCATCTGGAGAGCTCTCCCATCTGGTCTAAGTTATTAGTCTTCCCTTGACACATAATGGGAAACTGCCACCCTCCATATATGTGGATGACATACTAATGACCTACATACTTGTAGTGGTAATGGATTTGCCCTGTTCTCTTTACACTTATAAATATTTGACTCTGGGCTGGGGCTGTAATTCATTGGAAAAGTGCTTGCCTGCATGAGTGAGGCACTTGGTTTGATCCTCAGCACCACATAAAAATTAATAAAAGGCATTCTGTTCATCTACAACTATCAAATAAATAAATAAATAAATATTTGACTCTTTTGTGACCAAAATCAGGTAAAGGCAGTCTGGACCCACAGCAAAAGGTGAAGCCAATACAGGTCAAACCTACAGTATTAGCTGATGTTAGAATTTGTACTCATTTCTGGCTCACTTCAGAATCTTGCACTTAACCTTTATACTATATGTAATATGATCTATGGACTACTGTCACATACTCAGAAATTATTATGYCCCAGTGCTTCTTTGTATATAGGAAGAAAAGCCTTCTCAGATATTCACTGTACTAACATTATTAGTGCATTGGGAATTTATGTCTTTTTTAGCCACTTTTTTATAACATGGTTAGCTTATATCCAAAATGTGGTTAATGCCTCTCATCTTACATCCAAAATATGTCAAATGTCCATTGTGTGCAGATTCTGCAGTACAGTTGTCATTAGACCTTATATCCTGCAGTTAGTTCCTGAGCTCACCACAGTTCCTATTCACCTTTACAAATCCAGCACTTGCAAATACGATGCATAGTATGTTCCCCAAAGTACTCTTACATTCATTTATCTGTGATTTTTTTTAAGTGCTGATTTTTAATAATTCTGACTTTTAGGTTTTCTTTATTCCTTCTTCCTGTTTCCCCACCCCTGCCTAAAATTCTTGAGAAGATAGATGATTACAACTGGTAGAATCAGAAGGAAGACTCTAGGTGAGCTTTAGTCWTTGATGGTATTTACATTTTCTTGAAAGTGGCTCTCTCATGAGAAAAAAATAGAATTGGATAACAATTTCAGAATTGGGTAAAAATGACAGAATTTTTCTCTGAAKAATTTGATGGAGTGGTCCAACTCTTCATTTAGCCTTTTTAGAAATTGCCATCTAGAGCTTGTTATAGTACCCAAGATTCCTGTTGTTATCCAGTATCAAATTCTCATTTTATAATCAGATGATGTTCTGCTAGTTAAATAACCACACCAGTTCTAGAAGGTCTACTTTACTGCTGACTCCTAAGATAAATAGGTATTTGTTTTATTTTAGGATCCCCTTTTAACCTACTAGAAATTATATTAAGCTGACATTTTTTTCTCCAAAAATCTCTATTCTGATATGGCTTACCCTTGGCTGGCAGAAGGGAAGTGGTTGTTATTGAGCCGCTACTATTTGCCAGGCTTGGGATAGGAGATATATACATTCATTTTGACTAGTTCTCACAGTCCCCCAAGAAGCAAGAATCATGGTCCCCATTTCACAAATCCTTTTACCAGTAAGGGAACTGAGATCCAGAAAGATCAAATGCCTTTCTCAGGTTCATAGAGAAAGGGTAGTGCTGGGCAGAACCCTCATGTCCTCTTTCTATCACACTAGAGCTCTATCACCCAGAGTAACTTTATTCCCAAGGAACCTCCCAAATCTTTCCCATCATACTTTCTAGGGGGAGTCTGGCTCAGAGTCACTTGTTTCAGAGAAAAACTCTGGAAGTTCTCTGAATTCAGACTGGCACAAAGTCACACCATGAGAAAATTTTAATTTTCAAGAGGAAGATGTACCTAGTCCTTTGGTAGACACGGATGAGAGGAAGGTGATAGAGGAATTATTCATAATTACATTTTGACATAAAATTTCTTTAGTTTAGGTCATAAATATACTTTGATGAAAAAATTATGGGAACT